AGCGACTGTTTGCCTGACAGGATAGTGGATGTGACGACCAGTTGCCACCAGTCCCAAAATGACGACCGAACAGGCTGTTCTGGTGGCTACCTTTGGTGGCACCGCCCCTGTGATGTGTATCTGAAAAAGGAGGACAGGGGTTTCTACTTGTGGAGGAGGGCTGAGAGCTGGGGGTCCACAATTATGCCGACAACTTCTTTGCGCTTTTGTCTAGCGAACTTGTGTCTGCGCCCCGAGTACTTATAGAAAGCGCTGCACCCGCAAGCCAATCCAGACACTTGATATGCCCTCTTAGCTATTTTTTTCAATACCTCATTTACTCTTGCAGCTGTTGATGCAGTCTACGTCAACTCAGACAGCAAGCCCAATGCCACATGACAGGCCAGCCCCATTTGAGTCTTTGACACAGAGACAAACTGCTGGCGCTAACAGGCTATAACTTATCCACAGTCAATGCCATGCTCCATTAATTTGCAACCAGTGGCCAATTAACCCTAGAATGCAAAGCAACTCGTTGTGATCCTACGTTGGAAGGTACGGCGGTGCCAGAAGTGGGGCTGCCGACGCTGCAGCTGGAGTCACATCTTGTAGCTCTTCATAGTTACCCTGTCAAGTAGAAGCTCTGGGTCGCTGCAAATATCCTTGGCCTCGTTAGTTGCAGAGTTCGGCCTGCGCCGTGCTCTCCGCTTGGAACTAGAGGAACTATACCGTTTTTGAAAGCTTTGTCAGCTTCCCTCCAGTTGAAGTGGAAAATCCTCTCATCGGAGTGTATCTGTTGTGAATAGCTTTAGTGAGTGACGTATTCCTTTGATGGGCCATGTCACCTCACACAGCAGATGCCGCAGGCGCGGCAGCCCCTTCTGACGCCCCTCAGCAGAAAAACCCATTCCCAGAATTTCAGGTAATACGCGTAGTTCTGCCCACTTTGACCCAACACAACTCCATTCTTTTCACGTAGCGTACAGAATGGAGGCTCTTCATGAGCAGCAGCTTGCTGGACGTAGGGTTTTTGGCATGTACGCCAGATTGCCACGTGTTATTTTTAGGTTGTAGTGTTGGCTGGAGGCAGTGGCTCTCGCCTCTCTTCCCTCCTGGACGCACATGGGTCAGCTGGGGCTGTTTCGTGTAAGGCGTTGCTACCGGTCGCGAACCGGCCGATGATATGGTATTGTCTAAGAAACCTACAGGAAGCTACGTTCGGCGGTGCGTCCAGATGCTCCCTGTTCCTGCGCAAGTGCTGTACCTCTTGGAATTCTGTGGGATAAAAATGTGTGTACAGTTGATATAGATTAGAAAATCTACTGTTGCACTAGTATAGGCTTGTGCGTTCTTCAGATGTAATCGTTGTCACTCAAGCACAGCAGCAAGCTGAGCTCTCTGCATACTTACAACAGGAGTTTCGCAGCTCGTTTCGGCGTCTTGAAGTGGTTGGACTGAAATGCACACGCCGGGGGGAAGAAGAAGATGGAGAGGACGGTGTTTCAGGGGTCAATAGACGACGCTCAGTGGACATCACCGATGATCCAGAACAGAGAGTTTGCGGCACAGCAGAAGCTTTGCAGCAGATTCGCCACTTAATTACAACTGATTTCATTGTCCTCTCTTGCGACCTCATCGGCCACGTGGACTTTTTCGCCCTTGCAAGTGAGGCTCTGCGAACCTGCTCCCCAGGTTGCTATGGTTCATCGGTTCATCACCGGGTTCGCAGTCCATGGGCGTGCTTTTCTTAGGGGTTCTAGGGTCGCATTATTTAAAACATGAATGGGCAGACAACGATGAAAGCGGTTATAAGCGCTGGGGTTCTCCGCTGTGCTATACGGTGGCTTTCCATAGGCTGCTTGTGTGAGCAGATCGACATCGTGCGGAAGGGGCGGCGTGCACAGTTTACTTGATGCCACGAGATCCTTTTGCCGAGGAGACTTCAGTGCAGCCCAGAGTGAAGGGAGGCGGGAAGAAGTCAAAGGAAGCTTTACAGGAGAAATCTGATACGAGCAGGGGCAATCCGGTGACGGTTGTTGTGGATGACGCGGGTGTTCAATTGCTCGCAATCCAGGACAGACACAGTGAGCAGTTCGTTGTGGTAGCTCACGAAAAATGTCTTGAATGATTAGGCTTTCAGGACGCTCCTCAGCATGTGAAGCAGCTGCAGCTATATGCTTGATTTCTTTTGGTCTCCGCGCCTGCTCAGGCATGAGTCATGGGAGTTCCTTGCAGATTCCGAAGCTCCATTTATTCTTGTACCCTTCCCAGCATTTACTGCCTCATTACTATGATCCACATGTCTATGTTTTCACTCATGCGACGCTTAAAATTTTCGATCAACCGTCGTTGCGCCACAGCCTATATTCGATCCGCGTGAGTTACCTGGCGCTGGAGACGTGAAGCTGCCTGCACCTTGGAGCCAATAAAGAGTCATTTTGATCAAAGCTCTACATCTTTAGATGGCGCACTATGCGAGCTTCTCTGTAGAGTTGCAGTGACTGCAGGGATCGATAGCGGGCTTGATGCCAGTATCTTTTGTCGACTTGTGCAGTTCGACCTCGTGCCCTACATGACCACTATGCAGATGACGAGTGCAGCAGAAGGTACGGGTTTTCTAGTGGCTTTTCCCCTCGCTGCTGCCATTTTGGTGGAGGCTTATGGTATCTTGTTCTCTCCGGCAAGCCATATTCAGAGTTTATGTGATGCTGTGGGTGGTATGTTGCGGTTTGTGCAGTTTGGTCTAACAGCCGGCTTGAGTGTGACATTTTTGAGCAAAAGCTGTGGGCTATTCAGCATCAAGGCGAGGAGGAATCAACGTCAACATCCCAAACGGCGACAGCACCAACGAACGAAATGCCCACAGGCAGCGGTTTGCCGGTTCATTATACTGCAGCTAATCCTCCCCCACGACCAGTAAGCTGCCTGCCAGTTGAGTTAGCTTCTGCATTTAGTTTGCCTGCGGTTGCTTCAAGTCTTCTGCGGGATGCGTTGGTGCTTTAGGCGAAAGGCAACCGAGTCGTGTGTTGCATACACCCAGAAGCCGCAGGGATTTGTTGCCGCGTTAATAATCTTGCTGACTATCGAGAAATGAACAACAAGGTAATCGGCTGCAGTGCTTGTTTCCCCTTAGTTCCTCGCCGTCCATGCGCACGCAGCCCCATATGCCTATTTTTTGGGGAAGTTTTAGGGAGCTTCGATGCATGGAGACAATGACCAACACGGGTTGTCATGGTTGTGGACTCGTTCCGTTAGTTGTGCTGTCTTCAGTTTTGTTGCGGTCGGCTAGATGAATTGCGAGCAGTACTTCCTGACTGGGCTCTACCAGAGCACAACCCTAAAAAGCCTGGCAGCGTAAGACCAACTGTGGTTGTTTAATTGTCGCTCTGTTCCTGCTTTGGCATTTTCATTATGCCTGCGGCTATTTGTCAACTGTGGGTGCTCATGTTTCTAATTGTCAGATGCGCGACTGTGTCCTGGCGGACGGTGCCACTTTAGAGGCAGATGTTGTTGTCAAGAGAAGCGTCGTGGCCAAAAATGCTTCACTGCGGTCAGGCTGCAAAGTTACTCAGTCGATCCTCATGACCGGCACGGAAGTTGGACAGAAGGCAGTGCTCCAACGCGTAATACTTTGTCCCGGCGCGAAAGTTGGGAGGGACTGCAAAGTGAGCTTCTGCCGACAAACCACCAGAGCTGTAGCAGCAGAGCCTTAGTTCCACATTCCACTTACCAGTGCCGTGCTCTTTTATGCCGCACCTCGTGCATGTTCAGTTTGAAGCGTATTTGTATTTGCTTGTCTGTCTTGGGACTTCAGCTGGTGAACTGTCAAGTCAGAGGAGGGTTCTGCGTGCCAGACGGCACCAATGCAGAGGACACGACACTGCCTTCCTTTACAGATGGCGTGGATTTTTCAGCTTTGCACTTATAAATGGATAGGGCGCGTTTCGGCGGTGGCCAGCGACGAGGCGTTGAGCACTCCATTTAAAACGCTCCACCGTGAACACGTTGGGTCACACTGCATGGCCAATGCAATCAGAGTGTTCCACAGATGTTGCAGCACAGTTTATCCACTGGATGCAACGAGCCGCTAGCCTCAGAGCGTCAGGGGGGGAAGCGCGGTTTGCTAGTGCGCTGTCGTCAATGGATGTGGCCTTAACAGACACAGTGCTGCGCGTTCCCCTTGTGCACCCAGTGAAGTAGCTGTTCACCGGGCTTAAACCAAACAGGCATTGTGAGCCCTCAGAAAGCAAGCTACTGCGAGGAGGCAACGCTGCATCGTCCGCAACTTTACAGAGCACTCCTTGCCTGTAAGTGCGTGCGGAATCATTGACCCATACTGCCTGGCACACCCAAACCATTGGTCGCACTGAACAGCGTGGCATGCAACTGCCTGGCCGCCGCAAACCAATCTGGCTGCTTGTGCGGATGTGTGGGCTTCTACTGTGGGCGTCGAAAGTATAGCCGGCTGTATGATGTGTCTTGCACTACGTGAGTGGTCAGCTTATCATTCTGTACTCGGCCTAGGCCACAGCTTGGCACGTAGACTGAGACCTCGCATAGCCTCAGGTGCACTACAGTTGCGCACTCTACAGAACCCCCGGCTCGAGTTATAGCACTCTGATAGCAGCAACGTAAGGAACGCAACGCCAGACCCCTGTGGCCTTTCCGTCAAATCTTACAGAAAGCACATACAAGACATGTGGCCGTGGGATCAAAATTCAGGTGGAAGCTTTCAGACGACGGAGTTTAAGTGCCCCATTTTCCCTTCATCCACATTTAAATACTCTCCGCAGCGAGGTTCCGAGACAGTATACGGGCTCCTTTTGCCACGCGCCTACAACGCCTATGTTAAGCTGGAACTGCGTAGGCTTGGAGTTTCTCGTGCAGACATGTGACATAGAAACACCCATGCGCCTGCGCAGACTTCAAGGGGGAGGCAATAACAAGCAATTGTTACGTCAGGGTTACGAACGCGGTCTCGGGCTTTGCGATGGTGCGTTTGCCTTCGAATTGCTCACAGTTTATAACATTTGCAGCTCTTGTTCAATGGCCGCTCGAGCGCTCAATATCTCTTCGTTACTCAGGCAGTCGAGGCAATCCGCATCATCCAGCAAGCGCTCTAGCTGCCTCTTTCGGTGTCTCCTGAAACAGTCGTCGCTGACAAAAAAGTATTCTTCTCGCAAACTCTGCAGCCGGTTTGCCAGGTCCGTGGAAGTTTCGGCATATTCTAGCTGCTCAAGCCGGCGTGCCTGCCGCATCAAGTCACCGGTTTCATACGCACTGAGATTCGCATCGGTGGTTTGACTCCATGCATTCTTTCGTTGTACGACTGGCGCCAATTTTGCAAGGGTGGCGGCGCGTTGCTCCTGCATGAGGCTCAAAAGCAAAGAGTAGCGTTCCTCCAGCATAACGTCTCTATATTCAGGGAGGCTTGCACATGCCGGCGCCAGTCCCGTTGCTCCGTGACTACTTGAAGCTGCGGCGCATGACCCTTTCCCTCCAGATCTAAGCTGGAGTTCGGCCAACAGGTTGACCGCAGACTTCTGCCACGCCACTTCTTCAGTTTCCGGAGTCCAGTTCGCCACAGTGCATTTCGTAGCGCTCTCATTTCCCATTAATGCTGTGATTTGCGAATCCTCGCAAGGAACGGATGCCAGCTCGATATAACTGCAGGGACAAGACAGAAGCGAGCCAAAAAACGAACTTAGCACAAGCGGTTCGGTCTGTGCACACGTCTCGACGTCGTCCAGGAACTTGAGAATCCGCGCCACACGATCCAAAGTGCAAAGCCTCCTCCAGGGGGCAGCATGCTCAGCGCACAACGTGCTCCAGAACATGGCGAAAAACTCCCCCCCAGCAATGCCCTTATCGCCTTCACTTCCTTCCAGCCAAACCCAAGCTTTTCGAAAGCGCATCAACAACTCTGAAGTAGATCCACAGCGCAAGCGCTTTGCTTGCAGTTGCCGCAGCTCAGTGGAGCTGAGTTTTTTCAAAAGCGTCTCCGCCGAAGCGTTCGAAGATTTCTGGCTTTCCCGCAAAACGCTACGTTGCATGTGTCCCTTCCCCGCTTCCGCAACAATACTTTGCGCCTCTGGAAAAGCCTCTTCCAGGGTGTCAACCTGGGCTGACCTGTGAAACTCAGTTGCCAGTCTAGACAGAGGTGCTTGCTGATCGTGGGGGAACGGCAGATGCGCTGCGAGTGCTACAGCAGTGTGACTAGACACGCGCATATCTGTGGGCACGAGTCCGATTGTAAGCACAAACACTGGTTTGTTTCCAGCCTCCTTGCGGATGCTGTTGACCATGTCGGCTCCCTTCAATGTCTCTGGTGACACGACTAAGCAGTCAAACACCAGCCGGTCAGCTGGACCTATCGCATCCGAGATCCGAAAGACCCGCAGTGACAACTTTTCTTCAGAGGTTAGTGCCTCAGGGGTTCGTCTGTTGGCGTCAGGTAGTAGTCTCAATCCATAGCCAAAATTATTGGACACGCCAGTCATGCAGCCCGGGAACTGTAGCTCCGCTGAAATGGCTCTTTCTTCCTCTTCAATTGCTTCACTGAAGCCCTTTAAAGATACCCCAGCTCCCCTGGCTGCTGCCAGCAGCTGCACAAACGCAACGGCTGCCTGAAGTCTATAAACAAACGGCTCAATACCAGCTGCTGCTACATCCTCGAGAGATGCTGCTTTTTTCTTGACCAAAGGGCCAGATGCCACAGCGATGCCAATATTTCGGCGAGTGCTTAGCGCTGCGGCCGCCAAGAGCAGCTGGTGTCCGGCATGCAAGCGATCGAATGTTCCAGCAGCGAGCGTGTAATCAAACGGGGGAGCAGTCGGTGAATGTAAGTCCTGTACTGACGACAGCTCCTGTTCATCCGTTCCAAAGGACCCTACTTGCTCAACTTGGCATAACGGAAGAGAATCCAGGGGTCCCAAGCAACAGTGCCTGGGCCACAGGTCACGGGCTGCAGCACTGGTTAGCGTGCATGTACTGTCCACGACAAGAGGGACCACATATTCATGCGTAGTTTCACGTGACCACTTCCAAAAGAGTTTGCCCCCTACTGTTAGTTGGTGGTGGCGTAGCACTGCCTCTCTTGCGCGGCGCACCCACTGAGTGCCATTCTGAACCGCGGCGCTCGGCAACACTCCCCTGTGTGACGGCTCCCCAGTTTCCCAGGGAATCACAATAGGGACGGATATCAGCTGGAGATAACGAGCTAAATTTCCAAGTTTAGCGCTCAGGCTTGCAATCAGATGCCACATACGCTGTCCGCACGTAACAAATGAGGCTGCATCTCCATACAAACCATCACGCCCTGAAGGGCCAGATACTTCGAAAGCGCTTGAAGACACATTTCTGTGTGCAGCTGCAGGCATGCACAACAGTACATATAGAGTATGCCTTGTAAGAAGCAGCGCACGGCCTAGGAAAAGCATAAGCTTATCCAACTCGATAGACTCCTTGCAGCACGCTTCGACTTCGGTTGGGTCATTGTGTCCCGTTGAAAGCAGCCTGAAAACGACGCCCTCATCGATAATTGAGCATGCGGCATCCTCTTGGAAGCAGCGAGCTGCCGCCGAGGTCATCAAGACAGCAAGATGCCACGGAAAAAACGATACTCTGCTGGATAAGAGTGCACGAAGCTGCGATACTGAGGCGGCTATGAAGAGGCTTCGTCCTTTCAGAAATCAGAAAACCGCGCTTTTCCTTGCAGAATGCCGACTCTTTGCTCTGCTTCTGCCTATTAGCACGCTATTGAGGTTGACGACGAAGTAAGCTGCCTCGTCACCACAGCTTGTACACGGTACAGGAACAGACACCGGCTTACACTGGTAAACCTAAGTCTCCATAGATCACTGTCAAAAAATCCAGTGTGAAATAATTAAACAAAAAGGTAGTTCTCGTGGCATATAAACTGAGCTTTCTGACCAATTGACACGATACATGCAGTTTAGAGCAGCCCCAGATTCCTGTGTGTAACTCGTTCTAGCCTTTCCTAACACAAGTTCTCAGTTACGCTTGTGTTCTGTTCTTAGTGCGTTTGTAAACCGGTCAAATTCAATTACTGGGACTAGCTTCCGACTCGCGTCACAACCTTACCGCTGTTTTGGGTTTCAGTGCCTCGTGGGTTGCCTAGATCCAACTCCGTAGGAAGTAATGAACATACAACAATGTGCTTGCAGAGACGGGTCACGACTCAGAAGAGGAAGTTTGCAAGCAGCCATGAACCCATCCTGGCCGTACACCCTGGCATCCAGCACACTGCTCGCTTGTAGCTTTCAAGGAACAGTACTCCAAATAGCATGCCCATCTCCATGGCAATTTTCTCGTATTTTTTGGTTTTTTAGTACTTTAGGTAGGGGTATCTGCTCATGTGTCCCTTTGCTGTAGACTGCGGTACTTTAGATAGCGGTATCTGCTCATGTGTCCCTTTGCTGTAGAATGCTGCGGCTAACCAGGGTGGAGGGTGGCACTACAGGAGCTAGGTAGCAAAAGCTTGCAGGAGAGCCCAAGCGCCCCTCTGTTGTAACCTTTTACACGTGGCAGCTGAGGTGGATGGTTGCAATGTGGTAGCTAGGGAGTTTTGACTTCGTAGTGTCCTCTGGAAAGGCGCTGGCAAGGTAACGGTTAAGAGATAGCTCGAGAATGAGAGATTTCAAGCGAAGGCTGCTATCCTTAGCAAAAACCTCCGCGTCACTCATAGCATCGATTTCCTCGAAAACAGTTAAACTGTCTGCAAATATGCCTATGCCTCCTCGCTTTGCTCCATGCCAGATCCAAACTAGCTCAGTATGGCGCTGTCCAGGTGAACAGCTGCACAAAATCCACGCGGCATATGCATCCGCGGTTTCCTCTGCACTTTACCAGCTAGCTGCGTGGGTTGTTAGCACTGCCGCTGAAGCTCTGCATTTACGCTGTTTGTGCTCCTGTAGGAAAACGCCCAAACAAGGACTAGGAAAGCTGCCGAGGGACCGAACTTTTCAAAATTTTGCTTGGCAGCCACAATTTATTATCTGCACACCTGGCGGTCTCTGTACAGCACCGTAATCAGCATTTCGATGTGAGTGATTACTGCAGTTCCATCCACTGTATAGTCGAACCTTTAAGACTCGAATGTGTCCGTAGGCATAATCAGAACTGGGAAGACTTGGTTGCCCCCGACGGAAGCGGCAGTCACCAGTTCGGTGGCGATTATGACCCGGGACGGATGCTTGTTGCAATCAGAATAAAAGTCCTGTCGGTTCGCGGGCCCTTAGTTTTTACAACAGAAAGGCAGCTTTAGAAGACCCTTGAAGCGGTCGAAATAGTTTGGGAGCCTCGCTGTGAGGTACGCTTAAGAGCCAGTTTCATGTTACCGTCGTCGGCGACGTTACCACATGCGCGGGCAACCGTGCAAAGCAATAGTCGTGTTCATTACTTCACACGTGGCGGACAGCATTACTTTTAGGGGCTTCGACGCTTGGTCTTATTGTGCAATAAATATTAAGAGACATAATCAAACTATGGTGATTCTAAGAGTGCATGTGCGAGCTGTGTTATGAAACAGCATCTGTACGTCATTTCGCGGATCCTAGGGGTGATACAAATGCACGCAGCAGTGCCTTGAGAGCATCACAGACGAAAAAGCGCCATGCAAACATTGCAAGCATGAGCCCCACGCGGTATTGAGTTGCCAATGTATCGTTACCAGCCGGTGGAGGGAGTGTTGGTACTGTCGTGAGACAATTGATCTGCGACGTTGTAGGTCCCGCGCCGTTGTTTTCGATATTTACATGAGCGGTACACGGAGCAGCACACTGTGTACGTGTTACGCAGGGCATTGCTGGGTCAAGTACAGATTCAAAGAAGCTTGCTGCAAGGTGCTCTGTCGAGATGCATGCGTATGTCCCACAACACATTGAGGCCTACCAATAAAGAGACTAATAATAGAAAGCAGCCAGAGTGCTGCACAGCTGTAAAGCTGCTTCACCGACATGCAATGCCGCGACGTCATGAGGTCCACAAGTAAATGGACGCTAAAAGACAATAGCACCCCACGCTTTCACACAAGGTGCACTGGCCGGCAAGTGGACGCCTGGTCCGTCAACAAAGTTACAAGCGTGCACGATGGGTCTCGGCAACGCCAGCTGGTGAATCGGCAAGGAAAAACTCTGGCTGCAAACGGTATTTTGATCGGAGAATTCTGGCTGGCGCCCGCTGCACCACTTCCGGGTAAGGCAGCTTTCTAGAACCAAGCCAAGCGCATTTGTTGAATTGCCGCGCAGTTGCTGTAGCGCAGCCGATAGATGCAGCCATCCGGCAATATCTGTCTTCAATAATTAAAAAAGAATGACTGCAGTGCTTCTGAGTAAACACCTAGCTGAACTGGGTGCTTGAGCGCGAAGCGGAGCACTGAACCTCCCTGTGCCACTGCCTGAGTGTACGGTGTCACGCCTAGCTTGGCTACGGCGTTGTTTATCAGTAGTGGCTACCCACAGCACTCATCTAGACCACAAAATACACGACAAAGGTGCTGTGTAGAGGTAAACACATAATCCAGACAATCCAGTGGTCCTGGCCTGCATGGCTGCACAGCCCGCAGGGTCTAACCACCTTACAGCTAATTCGAATTCCCCGTGTGTTTGGCCTGATTTATTTGGCCCCAAAATGCCACTTTTCCACTTTGTTGTAGTGCGCAGCACTAACCGAGTGCCTTAACTGCAGTGAGCCGTACGTAACACAAGTCGAACAATCCAGAACTATGCGCCGCAAATTACATAACAAAACGCAAACCCGTACTTTGCACAGACAGCCCTGCACTACAATTAGTGCTTGAAGAGCAAACATAGACTAAGCATGCTCCGAAAAGCGCTCTGAACAACTACAGGCTAATCTCCGGGAGCTTTTGCCCGAGAACTGTGTTCGCTGAACGACAGGCGGCATAGAGCAGAAAATATGCAGCAAGCGTCCTGTTCGTGTTGCTTCTAAAGGATGGATACGTGCAGGGAAAACCCACATGTTTTCGATAAAAGATATCAAATTGAAAATATTGTCTGAGTTTCCCTGCTTGCACAGGGATGGAGATACTATTCAGTTCCAGTCACTCAAAGCGTGCACCGGCTACGCCAGCAGACCCATTAGCTTTTGCTTGCTCCTCCTTCAAAGACAGTTAGGTTATGCACGTTACCTTCTCTTTGTGCAGCGGCAGAGCTGCAGATGAGGAAGCCAACAAGAAAACACACAAACGCACGCGAAAACAAATTTAAGAAACTAAGACGCCTGCGTTAAGCAGTGAGTGCACATCCCCCCGGGCTCTTCAAAATGCAAGTGGAGCCCGCTTCTCATGGGTTTGGGGCATGATCACAACATGAGGGTTCCGAAGCCCTTAGAGAGTCTCGCGGCATTTGCTTCAAGCTTTTCAACCTAGGACCATGACTGACTAGCACCGGCGCTTTCAAAGCACTACCCTTTAGTGATTTCATCGATTAATTGGCTGGTACAGATTAGAGTTGTGCCTTTCCTACCGGACATCAAAGCGAACTTGGCCGGAGTAAAGCTTCTCGTGAAGCTCCTGAATGGTAGACACTCCTGCATCCTGTAGTCCATGTTTGACTCCTTGCATGACGTAAGGTATCAGGTTGCGAATTGACCCTTTATCGACAAGGCATCCTGTAACACCTTGCGCCACACGAACGTTCTGGCCCTCTGCAAAGTAACGCGCTGCGGAACCATAGGGAGCAGCTGCTTTTGGAGTACTGCTGCCGTCACCCTGGGGCTGCTGCGCGCCTCCTCCTCCTGACGCAGCTCGCATGGCTTCTATGCTTCCCATGCCCCGGTAGCTCTTCACGCGGGCACCGTTGTGAAAGTAGTATGCCCCTGGGGCCTCCTCCGTGGCTGCGAGTAGAGATCCAACCATCACAGTGCTGGCTCCAAGGGCTAGCGCCTGCATTCAGGGGAAAAAAACAAGAATTCGAACAACTCAGCTTCTGATTTGAATCCAACGCTTGTGCTAGCGGAACGAGTGAGAAGCGAAGCTCGTTGGTTTCGAAGAGAATTTTTCATTTTCGGCTTCAAAATTATGATATGAGCACACCTTTACTACATGCCCTGAGTTTTGGATGCCACCGTCAGCAATGCAGGGGATGTTTGCCACTTCTCTTGCATATTTACTGACATGGTAGACAGCGGTTGCCTGGGCACGTCCCACGGCGCAGACAACCTGTGCATGTAACCACAAAAAAACAATAACGGACAAATGGTTGAGTCACTGCCGGCAGAAGAGGTCTCCTACACCTGGATGGCGCATCAGCGCAGAAAGCTGCTATCTGGGCGTTAGGGCGAAGACGCTTGGTCACCTGAGTAGTACAGATGGAGCCACTACCCATTCCAATCCGCAACGCGTCAACTCCAGCGTCTATGAGTGACTTCGCTTGCCTCGCTGTAACGACATTACCTCCGATGATCTGTGCGCATTGGTGCCAAGAAGCTTTAATCCCAGCGTCCCCGTCATTTAAATCAAGGCTGGGATTCTGGCTTACGTATTTTAGGGCTTTCTTTTGACGTCAGCTATCCCACCTGCGTGTTAGGATACGCCGATTTGAGTTGT